GGAAAGAGAGATCTAGAGGGGCTGGTAAAAGGAAGGGGAGAGAGAAGAAAGACATGAGAAAAGGGGGAAGAGCGAATAGAAAGGTAGGAGAGCAATGGAGGGGAGATGGGACGTGGAATCAGGCTGGAACGGTGTTTCCCAAGCTCTTGCATAGAAAGGCCCTTTTCCACGCTCTGTCGCCACTCACTTACGTGAGCGAGAAAGGGGCTGAGACTTCCCTGCCAGTGAGCAATAAGGAAAAGGAGAAGGGACACTCATACAGAAACCCCCAGATTGAGCCCCTTCAGGCCAGAGTCACAAGCCAGACATGCTGGCAGGAAAGAAAGGAGGGAGAGTGCCCAACCAGAAAGTTGAGTGATTATCTGGACAGGTGGGCAGAGATGAGGGGGATGGCTTGTTGCTTGCCAGACCTGGGGTTGGGTCCCTGCTCTGCCACTGATCTTTTGCATGACCTTAACCAAGTCCCTTCATCCCTCTGCACAATGGAAGTGACAGCATCGAAAGAACTCATGAGGTCCCTTCCAGCCCCTAATGTCTATGAATACACTGGGGGACACTAGGTATGACACTAAAGCAGAGGGGCATAAGTACCAAAGAGCAGGAGCATAACTAGGGCAGGATGGAGGGGCACCAGCCCCGGGCACTGTCTTGGGCCTACCCCCGCAAGGAGTCTTTCTGCAACACACACAGCCCTGAGCAGCCTGGCTATTGGAATCGGGTACAGTACTTTACTTATCAGCACTGTGCCCAGCAGTGTATCTGGTGGGGGAAGTGGGGTGATGCCCCTTCCCCGCGGTGGGTTTTGCAGCAGTAGCAGCTTCCACTCAAGTGAGGAGAGCCCAGGCAGGTAAGACTCCTCTCCTATTTTCCTTTCTCTCCCCTTACCTTCCCCTCCAACTCTGCAGTGGTCAGTGTAACTCCCCCCCACCACAGGTGCTGACACGTTTGTGGTGCTTCCACCAAAGAGAGACAACACAGTGAGCGCAGGAAGGGCTGGAGACCTGGCAGAGAACAGGAGGTTGCTCTCCTGCACACCAGTGTAATTACTCCAGTCTTGAACTGGGACAAGGAGAGGCTGAAGGAACTGGGACAAGGAGAGGCTGAAGGAACTGGTCCTGCTGGGCTGTGTGTGAAGGCATCATCCTCTTTGCATCCCTGTGAAGCAAGAAGTCTCACAGCCCCATTCTTAACCCCGTGCTGTGATGCGAGTTACTGAGCTAGCTAGCCAGGAGCCGAATCCCAGGCCAGCACCCTGCTCCATGGACTTACCCACTCTCAGGTGACTTGGCTTGCATAGGTCCAGGGAGCTGGCCATCCCCAGGGTCCACAGCAATGAACCCCATCCTACCCACTTCAGATACAACCCACATGTGGCTTCAGTGAACCCCACTCCCCATACCCTGACCAAGCCACCCCCGCCCCAAGTTCTCTCCCATATTTCTGCCATTAAGACCCCTTGGAGCAGGAACTGATTGGTAATCTGTGCCATCCCGAGCTCAATATGAAGCTACTAAGATTCATTAGCTAATCAAGGAGACCAGCAAGCAAGGCAAAGCTGGGCCAATAACTGAAGCAGGTAACTTTCTGGGTCAAATGACCCCCCCAAGCCTGACACCCCATTAGACTGGCATGCTTCAGGCAAGGCCAGTTTCGGTAGCTGACAGCACAAAGTGTGTGATGGGGCTCATATCCAGGTACCTGGACATCCCAGGTACAGTGGGAGCTGCGCCGACACCATACAGCACCATAATGCCCAGTCTGGCTCATCCATCACTTCCTCCTGCTCTGTTCACCCATGACTGATGCCCAGTCTGGCTCATCCACCACTTCCCCCAGTTTGCTAACAGCTTGGCTCAACCGAGAAAGACCAGCCCATTCAAAATTGCACCAAATACCTGGCCCAGGCGGAGCACTGGGAACACCAACAGGAAGGGAAGGAGCAACCTGAGTCAGAACTGCCTCTCCCTTTGACTTTGGGCCTGGAGACCAAATAAACATGCAGCACGCTGCCAATGGACCAAGTGATGCGGGGCAGCTCCACGCCACCAAACAGCATGGCCAAAACGGAGTTCGATCAATGGGAGCTCCCACACAGCCGGGTCCTGGCTGAACTAAGTTGGAGTCCCGCCTGTCTGCAAACAGCCCTGCCCAATGGGACCCCAACGATGCCAGCTTGTTAACAGTGCAGCTTCTTTAATGAACGGATGTTTAAATGTTGGCTGCCACATATGCAGATGCCAACAGGGCTGTGCACTTCCTTGCAGCAGTGCCCTGCAGATACCAGTGCCTTGCCCTTTCCCCGAGCAGCAGCTGAACAAAAGTCATTTAATTCTTTACTAAGCCCAGCTCCTTTAATTTCCATTCCCTTGGATTAGAGGGATGATTCCTAAGGAACCACAACTGTCCTCAAAACCAGAAGAAGCAGAGAACCTGCCTGCTGGTCCAAAAACCTGATGTGATTAATTAATATTAATGAGATGCCCATCTTTAAGCCACAAACAAACAGGCTACATAATGAGAGAGAGAGAAAGAAAGAGTGAGCGTGCAAGTCTTGCCTTGTCTTTCCAGAGCCATAGCTTTGTCAGTTCCCAGCTATAATTTTGTATTTTGTACCCATAATCATTTATGATTTCTATTGCAATAACCTCATTATTATTAAGTATTGATTTCATAGTAGCATCTAAGGGTGCGTACACATGTATTAAGTCAACTTAAAATAAGGAGACTTAACTAAATCGACTTAAGTTGAACCATGTTGGAGCATACACACACACAGCTGCTTAGCCATAGGATGGCTGCCGCCATGTCAAGTCAACTTAACTAATGAGACTCAAGATACTACACCTCAGAGATGAGTTATCTTGTGCCACAGTTAAGTCGACTCCGCTCCACATGCGTGTACATTCAGACAGTTAAGTTGACTAAAAAGTTAAGTTGGCTTAACTGGCAGAAAGTTAATACATGTGTATGCACCCTAAAGGCCCCAACCAAAATGGCAGACCCTTCATACTAGATACTATACAAACACATGAGCCCCTAGAAACTTTCCTGATATGCTCTTTTTTACTTTCTTAAAAAGAATTTGCATTAATGTGTCAGCTGGACAAAAATTCATTTTCAAAAAGAGGAGGGGAACCAACATTTCAGGGAGGTGAACTTTATTGAGATGGCCTACTGGGCTTTTTCCTTTTAGAGCTTACACTTCTCATTGTCTGCACACAATCACCTTTGCATACAAACTATTCTATACAATCACATGATTTCTTAAGTTCAAAATCAAGTTTTTAATTTTATAGAAACTGGGAGTTTCAACTGACCAATTCATTCATCTTCCGGGGAAGGTCCAGCTAGCGGGGGAACAAACCAATGTGGAACGAAACGAAGTTCCAAATGGAAATTGAGAGTTTGGGGCACTTCCGACAAAACCTTTCCACAAGGAAATACCAGGCAGCCCTTTCCCTGAAGGCCTCAAGATCGAAAGAGATGGTAGAAAGGAAGTATGATGTTATCCCAGTGGGATTTTCAAAAGTACTTAGGCAGTGAGAAGCCTTGGAGGTTTTTGAGATTCCCCAGTGGGTGGCTTGAAATGCCAAAATGCCTTAAGGCATGTTGGTTGTAGCCGTGTTGGTCTAAGGACACAGGCAGACAAGGTTCTTCGGGTAAATCTGGTGTCTTCTATTAGACCAACTCAGATAGTTGGGAAAATTCTTCTTTGCAAGCTTTTGGGTATAAACACCCTTCTTCAGGCAGAGGTGAGCACAAAACAACCCGCAGACACTCACTGTGCCTGAAGAAGGGCGTTTGTACCCAAAAGCTTGCAAAGAAGAATTTTCCCAACTATCTGAGTTGGTCTAATAGAAGACACCAGATTTACCCGAAGAACCTTGTCTGCCTGTGTCCTTAGACCAACACGGCTACAACCAACGCCCCTGAAACATGGAAGATATTGAATTTGCCGTCTGAAATGAAAATGCCTTAAAAATCTCCGGGTGTCGACGCATAGCTTGTTTTTGAAAATAGGGTTTGGGCTCTTAAATGCTACTGACAATTGTAACTTTGCCGACCTGCCTGTCACAATTACAAGCGATTCGAAAAGCTTTGCTTTTCAGGTGCCCCACTCGAGACACCTTAAGAAGGCCTGGCTTTTAGAAAGCCGCAGGGCCTCTGCAAATAAAAATTAAAAATAAAAAAAATCAGACCTCTTCGTGGTACTTCCAACTGGGTACTCAAAGTCACTGGTTCTGTGACCATATGGGTTAAAAGGCTTCAGAGCCAAGAACCAACCCCACATTCCTGAATCCATCTCTCCCGCCTTAGCTACAAGCTAAGCTGGAGCTTAAAGCCTGTTGTTTTCATCACCATTTAAGGATGAGGAAGCCGGCGCTTCGCAGCACGTGAGAACCAGCTGCGAGTGATTTAATTTCTGTGTGTGTGCATGCTCTCCACCCAAATAAGCTCCAAAAAGGAAGGAGGGAGCAGGGTGAAAAGAAAACCCAACAGGTTGATCTGGATTACCTCAGTGGTCACACCCACCCCGCTTAATGAACATAGGAGAACAGGTGTTTGCAATGCATTAGCTCAGGGGAGGCAGGAGTTCAAACGTGCCACTTCTCTTCTTCCCCCCGCAGCAGCAGGCAGCTTGGGGCCCACCGCCGGGATGGACACCCCTTCCAAGGCATTCAGCACCAGCTCGCTCTCCTCCGGAGGCGCCTCGGGAAGGATGAGCAGGGCTAGCTCCATCTTCGCTGCCGTGGACTGCAATGGCTGCAGCAGCCCTGGAAGCACAGCCAGCCGAAATTTCAGCTCCGCCAGCCTCAGCGGAAACAGGCCTTCTGCCTACCCGCCCCTGTCGGTGGACAAGACCCTCTTGACGCCGCTGCACCTGGACATCGACCCCAGCTTCCAGGCCATGAAGAACCGGGAGAAGGAGGAAATCAAGGTCCTCAACAATCAATTTGTGGCCTTAATCAAACAGGTAAGAACAGCTCCAGCTTCTGGTGGCCAGGATGGAGCGGATAGATACCCTGCCGGTTGTCGGGGACCTCTCTGGAGCAGATGAATGCCCAGGGTTCTCAGCGAGGTGCTCCTGGGCTCTACGTGTTAGTCTAATTTTCCCAATTTGTTCTGCCTTCCCATGGGTTTGAATCATCATTAGCTAATTCTGGCACAGGCCCCATGCTGGAGCATCTGAGATCCCCGTGAGGCCTCCTGCTAGTAACTGTCCTGGTGGACCACTGGGAAACTCAGACCCTGGGTTGGATCTGGTACTTGGCTCAGCACCACAGACAGGGGCTGTGAAGACGGGGCATGAAAGAGAGGGCATTGGTTTCAACCAAGTGACCAGAGAGCCAATGCAACAGCCAAGGTCAGTAATGCTGCTTAAAGTGCCTACTATGCCCATTTTCCAGAGGCTGGAGGAGAGACGTGAAGCATAGAAGGAAGGGAAACCACCTTCCTCTGTGAAGGCCCGGGGTATCTTGGGCTGCAAGGCCAGTGAAGGAAGTTTCCCTTTCATCTACGAGTCAAGAGAAGGCAGAACATTTTCTCAGAGGAAAACAATTCATCCGCAGGAGGCAGGTTCCTGCAAAGCCCTGCGTCTCTGTAAACAGATAGTAATCTCCTGAGAGAGGATTGCTTCACGGGGGTGTATCAGGCAGGCAGGCGATGCCAAAGTGCTGCTTTGTTTTGTTTTAAAACCCAGGGCAGGCCTGTGAATGAGCCTCGCGAGGTCCCCTTCCCAGCACCATGCATCCGTTCTGCACAGATGCCAACAGCGCCTGCTGGCACAAGCGACCACCCAGATGTGCAACGGTGCTCACTTGAGTGTGCAAAAGGCCATGCACATTTTCAAGTGCCCGTGCTGACAATGCTCCTACATGCACGGGGCTTTGAAAATACCTGCTGGGTGAATTTTACCCCAGTGCAGAAAGGCCGGCACGGAGGCCAAGGCACCAGTGAGTACTGGGCTCGAGCAGGATTTAAGGGGTGCAGCTGAGCAGGTGCCTTTTCTGTTGAAGCAGTGAGCGGAGCAGCCCTGGCAAAGCAGCTTTACTTTAAAATGCTGCAATTCATCTGTTTGGCATTGCTGATCCCTGGTTGAGTCCCGATGTGTGAACCCAGATGGCAGCTACCACGCATCAGCGCTCTGCTGAGCTCTGCTCGGCTGCTGACTGCCCTCAGAGAGGCTGTAGGTGCTAAGTGTTCCCTGTGCGAGTGTGTGTGGCTGGGCGGATAAAAGCTGGTTGGTGGCTTCCCCCTCCTGACATCTTCTGGGGCCTCAGACATGGAGCAAGAAGGCTCCATGAGCAGTATGCTTGGCTAATCCTTCTGCTCTGTGCCCAGAGATGCTGCTGGAGGGAAAGCAAGCTAATGTTGCAGTCCTCTCCCCTCCACCCCCTACTAAGCATATGGAAAAGGACTCTAGGAAGAGCATGGCATGCTCTCCCCTCCATCCAGATGCAGGACAGAAAGTTTGCAGCTATCTGTATATCCCAGGAGCGGCAGCAATGAGCAATGCTCCCTCCAACTGGGGTACCAGAGCAGAGCAGCTAAGATGTCCTGTGGCAGCTCTGGAGGCACAAACTCAAGCTCTGCTCTTTTGTGGTGGTCTCAGACAAGAGGATCTGGGATTTGAGAGGCCTGGGGATCCATTTCCCCAGGCCGCTGTCAGCAGCCCCATGACAGCATCATTCTGCGGTACTCAGTGAGGCATGGAGAGTGAGCCAGCTGCCCTGTATACCAAAAACCTGGCTTTTGCCAGGACCTTCTGAGCCCTGCATCCATCTGTGGGACTCTGCCCAGTGTTTCAGGTCAGACCTTCCCATAGGAACCACTGCATCTAGTCTTCAAACTGGGTCCTTTAAAACATAAGGAGCCTTCAGGGATGAGAGAGGATGGTCTAGTAGCTAGAGGCGCTGGACTTGGGGCCTCAAGAGGCCTGGGCTCTTCTCCCACCTTTGCAGTCCTGGCTCCTTTGCTTCTTCTGAGATGGAAGATGTTCAAGATAGATGTGCCCCTTGCATAAAGGCAAGCACTCAGAGCTTTGACTTCTTTGATGCTCATGCATGTCTTGGTGGGATCTCCTTGCAGGAGAATGAGTCTCTCAGTCCCAAGAACCTCAGTATTTTGATCTCTCCCCTGCCCTGCAGAAAGGTTGTGGAGCGTCTGTCATGGCAGAGCTTAAGTGCGAGCTCAGGCAGGGATGGTTTAGGCTCCAGGGGTGGGCAATTATTTCGGGCGGAGGACTGCTTACTGAGTTTTGTCAAGTCATCAAGGGCCACATGACAGGTAGCCAGAGGCAGATAAATATTCATTTTCTAAATTTTTTAGGGACCCCATGGGCTGGATAGAATGGCCTGGCGGGCCGCATCTGGCTCACAGGCCACATTTTGCCCACCCCTGGTAGACACCGAGGAGAAGGGGCTAGGTGGTTTCGTACCACCCCTTCAAGCTCTGTTTGTATGTGGTCACATATTTGCACCCAGCACTTGCCTGTGAGCCACCAAAGTGAGACTCCTGATCTTCCCTATTACTCCTTTTATGACAATACCTTAAAGTCACATGTGCAAAGGGGTGCGCTACCGAATAATCCAGAGAGAACCAGGAACAGAGCAGAAAGGTAAAACGCAGTCTTTTAGCAGATGCTATCCCAAAAGGCAACACAGCTTTTCCATCCCATGGAAACATGAAAGGTGATTCAGCCCACAGCTACTCAATATACAGGACTGGCAGGGGGTGACACCATCACATACACGATGCTGTACCTTTTCATATGAGAAGGATGGATGGGATGTTGTGGAGGAGCATAGATTTCATAGATTTCATAGACATCAGGGCTGGAAGGGACCTCGGAAGATCATCGAGTCCAGCCCCCCGCCCAAAGGGCAGGAAGTCAGCTGGGGTCATAGGATCCCAGCAAGATAAGCATCCAGTTTCATCTTGAAGGTGTTCAATGAAGGCGCTTGAACCACCTCCGGTGGCAGGCTGTTCCAGACCTTGGGGGCTCGGACAGTAAAGAAGTTCTTCCTTATGTCCAGCCTGAAACGATCTTGAAGTAGTTTGTGACCATTCGACCTCATCATCCCTTGGGGCGCTCTGGTGAACAAACGTTCCCCCAGATGCTGGTGGTCACCCCGATAAACTTGTAGGTGGCCATCAGATCACCCCTGAGCCTGCGCGTTTTCAGGCTAAAGAGCCCCAGGGCTCTCAGCCTGTCATCGTAGGGTCTGCTTCCCTGACCTCTGATCATGCGCGTGGCTCTTCTCTGGACTCTCTCAAGCTTCTCCACATCCTTTTTGAATTGTGGAGCCCAAAACTGGACACAGTACTCCAGCTGCGGCCTCACTAAGGCCGAGTACAGGGGGAGAATGACGTCCCGGGATTTGCTTGAGAAGCATCTATGGATGCAAGCCAGTGTTTTGGTCGCTTTACTAGCCGCCGCATTGCATTGCAGGCTCATGTTCATCTTGTGGTCAATGATGACCCCCAAGTCTCTTTCTTCCATAGTGCTAGCCAACATAGCACTGCCGAGCCTATAAGGATGCTGCGGGTTTTTTTTCCCAAGGTGGAAAAAAAAAATTGCTTTCCCAAGGAGCAATTCCTCCTGATGGATTTAAAGCCACGATCTACTACTGGAGGCAATTAACGGTAGATTAAAGTGATTGCAGACATTTGGTTTGTACACAGAGCAGGGAAAGGGGGGAGGGGGGGCAGTGGTTAAATGCTTGAAGCTGGCCCAGTGCTTTGGAGATGCTACCGCTGCAGGACTGCCAAGCATTAGCACTAGATCACAAAGTTTAGGGAGATTTAAATGGATGGTGGATGGCAATACAGTGCTCTCCATAACCAGGCTTCCCTACCCCAATGGCTGGCCAGGATTATGGATTATTCAGTAGAGCTCCAGAGCTGGGCATGTTGTTTTACATTACAAGCCTCAAGTCCGATTCATTATTCCAGCTTTACCCCAGTGTAAACCGATTTCCTGGCATATGCTGCAGTAGTGACTAAGGTCCATGGTTGCATTTTAGGGCCAACGGTTCCTAGTGGCATCTTCTGTGAAGCAAGTGTCACGTGAAGCCATGCAAGCTGAGGAATATCATAGCAGACTGTGGTGCCCAAATTCCCCAGCTAAGAAACAAACCTCAGTCATGCTGGAGGCCCAGATAGTCAGAGGTAATTAGGCAAACTCCTGTTTAGGAATCTGAATCCCCGTGTCCAGCCTCTGTATGCTCAAATCAGCAAAAGAGGCAGGAATATTGAAGCTTAGGTTGAGATTTGCCTCTTGAATTCATGCAGGGAAGTCCAGGCTGTCAGCTTTGGAGGTCCGCAGCCCCATGGTCCCGTGCGGTCCCAACCACTAGCCTTCCTAAAATCTCTGGATACTGTTCTGCAGGTCCAAAGCCTGGAGCTGCAAAACAAGATGCTGGAGACCAGGTGGGACTTCCTCAAAGATCAGGACAATTCCAGCTCTGAGGTGGACATCAAGTGCATCTACGATGAGTACATGGGCAGAATGGAACAAGAGATGAAGTCGATTGACCAAGAGAAAGAAGAGCTGGAATCCGAGCTGACAAAGGTGCTGGATTCAATGGACGACTTCCGAGCCAAGTAGGTATCTACACATGTTCATTCAGAATAGGAGGTAAATCTTCTACCTATTGCCAGGTATCAGGTCCACCATATGGCATAAGCAACAGAAAGAACATGAAGTTGCTCTAATGCATACATCCCATTATGGATACTAATAAGCACAGAGGGGGCAGATGAGCTTTCCATAGTGGAAAAAACCAAACACAGTTCCTTACTCTTTTCCTGTTTAATGACATTAAAGACAAGAGGGAAAGGGTACAAGGGAATCCACAGAGAAAGAAATAGCGAGCAAGATACTAAGGAGAAGCAGGATACAGGGGAACTAGGTGATAGACTTATGCTTGGGGGAGTATTGCAGCAGAGGCACAGAGAGGAATATTCCTGTGAAAGATTTCCACCACGCATGATAGATAGATAGATAGATAGATATGGGTTGGGTTATTAAAATAATGTCTTGATCAAAATTGGTCATTTGACCAAAAAGCCATTTTCCATGGAAAATCTACAAGCCACTGCAATGAAAAAAAAAGTTCTCAATCTCTAAGGACCTGCTTCAGCCAAGTACAGCAACCAATCGATCCAAACCCCAAAGGAAAACAGGGACCTATGAGCACAAAGCCCAGCACACCGACCTTCTCCAGACATTTCATTCCAAGCACAGCCAAGCAGGGATGGCTGAAAAAGCAGCCTCCCAACTTGCCCCAAGTCAAGAAAGGCTGATGAGCTTCATTTTAGTTCAATTTACAGAGAAGCTGGTGCAGGACACCTTAGCAAGCCAATGATAGAGCCAGGAACGATGCCCAGGAGATGTGGTTCTTAGTCCTGTGGTCTAATCATTCCCTCCAGTGACAAGGCACAGAGGCGCTGCGGATCTCTCTAGGAATTCGCATAAGTAGCCATTGTTACCAATATTAGAATATAGCTAATATCCTTTAAGGGATGTTGCTTATTCCACCATCTGCATGGTAACAAGAACTCTGCAGAAGTCCCAATGAGTGTTGTGCTAGTTCTTACAGATCTAGGCAGCTCTAATTCCTCGATATACATACAAACATATTCTCCTAGCCCTACAGATCACAATCTCCAGCAAAAAGATACCTCTCTTTTTATGCAGTGGGGTCAGCATATCCCAGGCAGGCAGAGAGACATAAATACGCCTGTCTGTGCTGATGCGCCTCATGTATTACCTACAATTGATGCTTCCTTTCTTCAATGCGCAAGTTTTTCCCCCCCATGCCTCCTCCACTGGTCCATAACCTGCAGTGGGCCTTGTCCATGGTCTGAAGGAGGTGATTAGTCTCATCAGTATGTAGTCAAGTTTCATCACTATCACAATATTAACCCCGAATTCCAGGAATAAATGAATTCCTGGGCATTGCCACACTGGTTGCAGTTCCACCTTGGTGGGGCAGTGAGCTTTCAGCAGAAGTGTGACGACTACATGCAAACCTGGATCCAAATCAAGTTGCAATCCCCACCTACACATCAGTCCTCTTACCCCCCTGCTAAAGGGCTGGCCCATTGGACCACCTGGCTTCCTGCAGTAAATGGTCTCATGGCTGTAGACTAAAGAAGTGGTAGGGATTTTGTGAACACGTTGAGACAGCTTTTCCCAAGGGAAAAAAAAAAAAAGCTTGGGAGAAACTTGCTGCCGGCATGACTAGGGTAACCGCTACATTAATACCTCCTTTTTTAATTGCCATATAATCCGCACATAACATAAATCAGTTTCTCATTAGACACAGTGCAGTAGCTAGAATCTGTTCTCACTGCCAGAGCCTGGCACCACCCTTGCTCAGTCGCGTTCCCTGAAACTCCCAAGCCAAATTTGCAAGAGCGGGGGGGTCTTCCAGATTAGGCCTCTTAGCTGTTGGTCCCAGCCACCTCAGAGCCAGGTCACCAACTGGGGTGAGATGAAGTCCAGGGTGCAAAGGTGATTTGCATCAGCTGAGCAGCTATGTACTTGCCTAACCAGAAGCTGATGTGCAGTCACACCTGCACAAGTGCCTCTCGTGTTCCCAGGGTGTTGGTTGTAGCTGTGTTGGTCTGAGGATATAGGCAGACAAGGTTCTTTGGCTAAATGTGGTCCAACTAAATAGCTGCAAAAATTACTCGTTGCCAGCTTTCAGGCAAAGAACATCAAACACCAGCAGACTCTGCCTATGCCTGAAGAAGGGTGTTTGTGCCCGAAAGCTGGCAAAGAACATTTTTCCCAACTATTTAGTTGGTCTAATCCAGGGGTGGGCAAAATGAGGCCTGCGGGATGGATGCAGCCTGCCAGGCCATTCTATCTGACCCACGGGGCCCCTAAAAAATGTAGAAAATTAATATTTATCTGCCTCTGTCTGCCTGTCATGCGGCCCTCGATGGCTGGCCAAAACCCAGTAAGCGGTCCTCCACCTGAAATAATTGCCCACCCCTGTTCTAATCAAAGATATCACATTTACCCAAAGAACCTCGCCTGTCTCTTGTTCCCATACATGCACAGATCCTCAGTTTGCATGTACAGCATGTCACCTGCATGTCCAGATGTGGGAGTTTTAGATTCATAAGCACCCCTCTACCCAAGTCAATCACGGGTGTTGCACTGCATCTTACCTATTCCGAGGAAGGACGTCCCCACAGCTCAATGACATTTGCAAGCCAGGGGGGAAGTAGAGCTGGAAGAGAACTCAATTCAGTCCCTTTGTGGACTGGTCCACCCCTAACCCATGTAGTGCAGCCTTGCCCAGAAGTTTTGCTTACCTTGCTCCATTGCAGAGCAACCAGTCACATCATACTCAGTTCTATGTGACTGCCACACAAGAACTCAGGATTATCTGTACAGAGGTAGCCACCATCTGTTTGCAGTCTGAAAGGAATACTTAGCCCTGCCAAGAGCCACCTCTGGGTTCCTAGCCCTTCCAGCGCTAGAGAAGACCCCCCACCCACCCACCCACCACCCCTGTAGGTGTATTGCTTGCTTTGCTGGCTCTACCGCAATCCCGTTTGATGATTGTTTGTTCCGTAAATGAAATGACCTCAGCACCCTGCAATGCACAAAGCCTTTTTTGGCAGGCTGAGGCAGACAGGGGGTAGGGTGAGGCCTCAGCAGAATGAAGGAGCATAGTATCAGACTATAATTAAGCACAACACGTGCGTGGTGGCAGCGTATCTGCCATTCCAGTTTGGGAGCAGAAAAACCAGAACAGCCAATGCGTCTCCCATCATCCATACCATCAGGGCTTATGAAACAGGTAAGTACTGCAGTAAAGTGGAAACAATGTCATTGCTTGTTTTTTGGTTTTGTTTCCACATCTTCCCCCGCCCCCATTGCTCATCTTCTTCCCCTGCATCCGAACTGCTTTGGGTGCTTAAGTTAGCCCTTGAGGTGTAAAAAAGTCTTTCTGGTACAAGTTTTTAAAGCCCCTAGCACTAAGGACCGTGGCTTGAAACAGGAACTAAGGAGGAATGCAATGCAATTATTATTAATACACCTTTGTTGGGCAAGGTAATTCCTTTATCATTTAAATTCAAGGTATTATTTATGAGTTAAACTCTCTCACCACCCAGTAAAATTGCAATTATGCCTTGTATTGAGGCCGCATTTGCATCACAATAGCATGTGCTAATGAATGATTAGCACAGGATAGGAGCAGCGTATGCTATAGAAGGCTTTTTGCCACCATAGCAAGCCAGAAGCCTTCATCACTAAAAGTGCAAACTGCACAGATTGGACTTAGACAATCAGTATTCTCCAAAACATTGCAACCAACTCCTCCTCCTCCTCCTCCTCCAGAACAGGCATAGCCTCCATACATCATCTGCTACAAACTCAAGGCCCATTTGCATTTCTAATAGGACACCGGTCCAGTTGGGGATGAGGTGACATCTCTGGACTAAAGCAAACATGTGTGCCCTGCTGATCCAGCCATAAATGGGTAGAGCCAAACTTCACAGCCCTAACTATGATTGTGAGCTTAATTCTCCAAGATTTCATCCCAATCTCCTCTCTCTGTAGATACGAAGGTGAAATGCAATTGCGCAATAGCTTGGAGTACACCTTCCTGGAGCTCAAGAAGGTCAGTAGCAATGGGCTAGATGTCTGCCTGTTTCTGTCCAGGCTG